AACTTATAACCTAAAATTTTTTTCGTTATATTGATATTGGTTATCTGGTCATTATCGATTAATAATTGCCACTGTTGCATTGTAATTAGAGGTCGTTTAAAACTATATGTTCCACGTGAATTTCAATTTACAAATCGATTAGTAACTAATTTAAAACCCACGTACATATGCACATACCTGGCTTTAAACTATCTCTGTAAATAATAAACATTGTACTGATTATATTGAAATCAATAACTATCAAATCAGCTGAATAATTATTCGGTTAGTTTTTCATAAGGTGTCCCAGGAATAATGATATCAGCTTTAATAAATTATCTACAAGAATTGTAACTCAAATTCGCTACGTAGTAATAAAAATTTATTATTATATTTGCAAACAAATCTATTTACTATTTTGGATAAAGATGTACGTTCAATATGATTTTGAACCAGGTTAAATGGGTTACCTGATAGACCTGTGCAATCACTCGGGTGACCCATGGGTCCACCCGTCAGGTGACCCGGGTTATGTTTTTTTAAATGAGTTCAATCACTAGTAGGGATCCAAACCGGTTTACAAATCCAAAACCATCAACCATTATATCAAAACCGGTTGTCAACCGGTTATTCGAAATTTAAACCGGTTAATAAATTAAATCGGGTAATATAAATATCTAATTAAATCAGATAATACGAATAATCGATTAGATCAGATAATATGATTAGATCGGATAATACGAATACCAATCAATCCAGTTATTCTTATTTAATTAGATAACCCGGGTTGACTAGATCACCAGATTAGTTAATTGCTAAATGAATACGTATATATATGCTCATTGTGTTTATTGAATATACTCAAACTGAACATATATATATATTATATAAATAATACTGCTAGTAAAAATTTGATCTCAATTATATATGATGGCTCAAATGTCTGATCGTTAAACTTTATAATAAAACATCTTTATCCATAAAGGATATATAAATAAAACTGATTGATTTAAGAAACAAAAGATACTTCAAAAAAATTTTTTTTTTTTTAATAAAGAATTCTACCAAATATTGCCAAAGTAATTACACTAATGCTAATGGCTAATCTTAAAGCCTTAAGTTTTATTAAAATGAATGGCCTATTTTATAAATTATCAGACATGTTTTGACAAACGAAAACTATATAATTTATCAAGAATATCATACCTCATTTCCAAAATCAGTTCAGATACAATTATAGATACTAGACGGCAAAGATAGATAATTAAACTTAATTGAAAAGCATGCATGAACTTTAAGCATCCGTTAAGTTTAAAAAAACTGTATATAGTAATACTATTAATGGGAAGAAAGTTAATATTTAAATTAGTAATGATTAATATACATATTATACTCATTATAGTGAACTCAGTATGATGATTTGATACAGTAAAGAATTTAAAATTAAATTAATACGATGAGTATACATCATATTCTGATAAAAGCTCTAGTAAATATTTTTTCTTGGCATCATGATTTCACTATAACGAAAGTCACATATTGCTGAATAAGTAATATAAAATGATACCATTCTTACTTTGTATTTTTGTTTTTAGCAAGCCACTTTTTGACACCTTTGTCTTTTTTTATAACACCAAACCAAATTTTGTCCTCATAAATAAGAAAACCTCGAAGTTCATTGTTAGATACGTTCAGACTTGATATAATTTAAATCCAATTTAAAATAATAATGTAAAGCAAAACCTGTGAAATATTGAACGAAAGATCTAATAACTATAAATTCAAATATATTTAGGCATAAGTGGTATAAGATAGATAGACACGTATATAAGAATTCTTACCAAGTATGCTCCAAGAAACTTTCCAATTCGTCTGATCAAAGGCTTTATGCATTTTTTTATCGCTTAGTTTGAAGTTTTCTTATTGACCTTTTTTTAAATACAAAATTCTCTTATAATTGTTTTAACTATTACTATTATCATTTATTATTGATCAAATAAACCCATTATGTGTGCAGCAATTTGTTTTGATCATTACAAAATAATATTGATGCATTTGCCAAATGATTCTATTAGTTTTCTTTTTCATCAAATAATCTGCAGATGTTTGACTTTTTTTTTGCGATGCCACCTAATCCAAAATTCTTTAATCAATGTTCCAAATAAGACTTAGTAAATATATCTCATTAGATGCTCATCTCGCAACAAGTTGCTTCATGATTTCTTAATGCAGATGCATCATTTGGTTTGATTTATTTAAATTGCAAGTTATTCTTTATATCTGTGCATATCCTGCAAAAAGTTTCATCACAAATTCTTAGTAATTATGATCGCAAGACAATAATACAGATTAACTACTTATTAATATTAAACACTAACCACTATTAAACAGATTTTATAATTCGTCTGGCTTAAAAATAGAAAAATGTTGCATATTCTGTTTGAGAAATATTATTTGTCTAACCATATCTGGCTGGAGTCTATTATGCAATGCTGTGATATGTTGTCCTGCATCCGAAAACAAGTGTTCAGAAAGAACCGACGTAGCTGGAACTGATAGATATTTCTGAGCCAGCTTTGATAATTTGGGATATTTTTCTGCATTATTTTTCCAGAATATTAATGGATTACATTATCTCTTTTGAACAGGCTCACGAAGGTAACGATCAACTTCAGTCTCCTCAATTGACTCATCCGATTCCTCATTACTATATAAGTCTTCCATCAAATTGTTAGTTTCTGTGGGTTTAACAGTTGACTTATTAGAAATCCTGGTAAAACTATTATTGGTTAAAATCTCCCAAGTCAAAGGCTCTTCCTCAATACAAAGTCTTCGTACAGTATTAATTGTGGTTGTCTTTATATTAACATCTTCAATAAATTTTAAATTTTTTATTCGGGAGTCCAAAAATGATGCAATTAGTCCAATTTCCTGAGAAACTTCCCAATACTCTTGAAGAGAAAGGTAGCTTGCGGCCTTGACAAGATTATATAGTCCTTCAATATTAACAGGTGGCTCTATTAAATGATGACCTAAAGACCGATCAACTCAAGTTATTAAAGAGAATATTAAATTCTAAAAACAAGAAAAAGAATAAAACTAACTGATTAAAACTAGGATATTGCAAGTGCAAAGCACAGACTATTGAAACATAGTGCCATGTCCGGTATTATGCTTTAATAGTATTATGCCTGACACTTGCAGAATTATAATTAAAATAAAAAAAAAAATAAAAAATATTTTAGCAAGCAAGACCTTTAAATCGTGAATCATTAGAAGTCTTCTTTTTAGCTTTTCTGTGAGGAATTTTTTTTCGTCCTTGTAATGCATTTAATGGTTTCCGAACTTGTTCTAAAATCATTGGCGTTACAGATTCAAAATCTATATCTGATGTTTCAGAATCTTCTTTGTCAGTTATTAGTTGATTTTGGTCCCTTATTTGTTCTCTAGGTCCAAACAATAAATTGGCATAATCATCTTCAGTTTGCTCATTAGAAGACGCAAACTTTTTAATAAGCAGTCTCATTGTTAGATAAACGAGATTAAGTGTAGGGTAATTTGAACCAGAAAATACAGTAGTAGCTTCATAGAATGGCTTTAGCAATGAGATAAGATCATTTAATGATTGCCATTCATTTGCGGTTAAGTTTATTAATTTCAAATATTCGCCATCAAGTTGGTCACATCGTTCTAATTCCAACGGCAGCATAAGAACAAGATAATCAATTGCTCTTTGCAATTTTCTAAGTCAAATCCAGGCTAAATACAAAGAGTTCCATCTCGTTGACACATCATCAACTAGTTGATAAATTGTTGAGTATCGGCACTGTTCTTGTGTATCTTTGAGCCTTTCTGTTTGTTTAGGACTTTGAGAAAAAAAAAGAATAAGATTCTTAGTCTGTTTAATAAGTTTTACCACAGGTTTAAGTCTTTTTAATACGCTTAATTGAAGTGTATGAGCTGAACAGGCTAATCGCATAATATTATTCATTAAACCAATAGCCTTTTTGACATCAGAACCATTGTTAGTTGTAATGCAAAAAATTCGTCTAGTCAATCCCCATTCAGTAATAGTTTGGTTAAGTGAATTTTTAATATTCTTAGAAGTATGAGGAGACGGAAGTAGCTGGATAGTTAATAAAGCCTTTTTTAACTCAAAATTTGAGTCAATCCAAGTTGCTATCACTCCAATGTATTCTTGATTCGCTCTTGAACTCCATAGGTCTGTCGTTAGATTTACAAATCCACCATCTATGTTTATTAGACCAAATAATTGATCATGGCTCCAGTCGTAAGAATGTTCAAATTTTTTTTTTATAGTCATTTCGCAAGGAATTTGAAATCCAGGTTCTGCATTATTTAAAAGTCGACGAAAGAATTGACAGCGTAAAATATTAAATGGTTGGCAGTCCTCAATGATAAATTCGATTAGATTTTGTATTAGCTTTTCTTGCCGATGTTTAGTAATAACATGCATAGCTTTGGTGATCGAGCCACCAGTATTAGTACCCTCAAGATGATCTTTATCTATTCGATGCTTTATCCAAAGATAACTAAGCATATTTCCAGTTGAAGAGTTATATATATACTTTACTGTAATGTTTTTCTTTACAAAGTTGACAAATATCATAAAGGCAACCTCCTATTTCTTCAGTTTTAAAGTGGTCCCATACAATACTAGAATTTTCCTGTTTTTTTTTTTTTTTTGTTTTCACTATCATTCAGAGATTCATTGTCTATAGAAGGTTCTTCACTTCTAGATGATACTTCAAAAGTCAAAGAGAGCGCATCATCTTCATCTATGTAATCAGATATAGTAGAATGAATTATTTCTTGATCGATCCTTTAAGACATATAATTATTGTTTTTTTTTTTTTTTAATTATTTTTGTTGATTTTTTGTTGACAAATAATATAAGAATTTTATAACTCATTATACCAGTTATCTAAGCAATTTTAAAACTGTGCCTGATAGGTAAAAACAGATAAGTTAACCTTGTCTTATACACTCGTTAGAGCATTCATTTCAACTATGCTAATGGTGGTTAATGATGATAGTCAATAGTTGGTGAACTAATATACAACGACTATAATAGAATTTATGATAGTGCTTAACAAAAGCACCTTTTAACTTGACACGTCTTGGTGAGCAAAGTAGTTCGTTATGAGAATTTTTTTTCAATAGTTTAAAAAAAATTTTTTTTTTTATAGGTTAAAAAAAAAAATTACTGGTGACAACAAAAAAAAAAAAAAAAAAAAAATCTAGAATACTACTCAGAACTATACTCTTTACGATCATCTGAAACAAAAA